ACCCAGTGGGTGCACTCGGCGTGCCCCCACTAACCCGGAATTTCAATCGACACACACCCAGTGGGTGTAGGACAGACTCTAAGAATTTCAGAAAGAAGAATAGGCAGTGACCGACTGACCTGAACGTTACTCTGGAGTGCCGAACTGGCGTCATAGGCTGTCTGGCTGGCTTCTCGAATTGCCTTCACTTGCTCCATCATGACCCCCGCTTGGCGTATCGCTTCTCTAGCGGCACTGGCTTGGTCTTCTGGAACGGGGTAGGTGGAGAAAAGCGAGGGTTGAGCAGCACTCGATGACGAAGGGCGAGCACTCGTCAACGGCACCGCGAAGGTTACGGTGGGTCGAGTGACATTGTCTCCCTCCACGACCAACGTCTCAGGTGCTGGCACATCCCGAGTCGCCTTACCAGCAGGCGTTTTCTTGCTCCTCCTTTGCCTCGGTGGTTCTTCGTCGTCGTCGTCAGGAAGGTCAATAACAATGTTAGATGAGGCTGCAGAAAGAATCAAAATTAGAGACAATAAGTCAGTCGACTGAAAACGGCGTCATAGAATCATACCTGGTTGCGAGGTAACATCATCCTCCATCTCGTGGTCTTCAGCCTTGGCCGAAGTTTTAGAAGTAGCAGCGCTGCAGTTCCAAAAGCCAGTCGATTGGCCCATGAGTCGACCAAAGACAAGTCCATGAAACAGAGAAAGCTCAAATCTACCATTACCCTGAGATAGTGGGGATCACCATCTTCATCTTCGGCAAGACCTTTGCGGGCTTCGATGGTACCACTCGAGATTGCTTCGGAGCCTTCTCAGTCGGCGCCGGAGAAGTGGTCCGAGGGCGCTTAGTCGACTGGGAAGCGGTCGCGACCCCCCTTACCCCGCTCAGTCGCTGGATCATGGGCAAGCTTCGAGCGTCTTTCCGAGCGGGGAGGTGCAACTTCCTCCTCCTCCTCCTCTTCTTCCTCCTCACCAGAGTCGTCACCCTCGTCGTCGTCGTCAGCATCCGAATCCCACTCCTCCGGGCTTTCGCCCCCGCTTCCTTCCCCCTCCTCAGTCGGCGTCTGCGCTCCATTGGGCATCGAGTACAATTCAGTGGTGGCCTGTCAGACAAACAACAAAGCAAGACAAAGATCAACCGACCAATTCGCGGCGAAGCAGAATAGATGAAACAAATTTACACTCGGAGATAAGCGGCCATACCTTGTCCGGCGTATAGGTACAGTCGAGTGGCGGGATCCTCCTCGCCCCTCGAGGGTTGTCCTTGTTCCCTGTGATGGCGGCCACCCACCTCTCCAGCGTAGCGTCGTCGACTGCTTCTGGATGGACCCGAGTGGTGTCTTCAGTACCGCAGTACAGCCACATCGGGTGGCCTCGGTACTGGAGTGGTTGGATACGACGCCTCAGGAAGACTTCCAGAAGATCCATGCCCGTCACTCCGTCCCGAACGAGTTGGACCACGCGCTCCACCAACATTTTTACCTCGGCTTTCTCCTCAGGAAGCACCTTCAGAGAAGACGGTTTGTCCACTCGGACCATGGAGAACGGAGGGAGACCAGTCGACTGCCCCGGCGTCGACTCATCTTGGCAGTAGAACCAAGTCGACTGCCACCCTCTGACCGACTCAGGAAGGGTCATGGCTGGGAAAGTGCTCTTATTCCTCAACTGGATCCCAAGATCCCCGCACATCTGTATAACCTTGGTCCTCTCATCACCCGGGCTCGCCTTTTTTACTGTCTGCGACCGACAGGTGAATATGTGCTTGAAGAGACCCCAGTGCGGTTGACAACCCAGGAAGTTCTCGCACATGGACACAAAGGCAGCAAGATAGGCGATGGAATTGGGATTGAAATGATGGAGTTGCGCCCCGAAGAAATTCAGAAACCCACGGAAGAACACACTCGGCGGCAGAGAAAAACCACGATCTACGTGAGTGGCTAAGAGAACGCACTCACCCTCCTGCGGCTGCGGTTGACACTCGGACCCCGGGAGCCTCTCTGACCCGTGGGGGATCAGTCCCTCATCAGCCAGGTCGTCGAGGTCCTTTCCAGTGATGGTCGAGTGGATCCAATCCCCTTGGACCCAACCCTTCGGCAGGCGGGACCTCGACGAAGATCCGCCCCGGCTGGACGGTCTCCCCTTCGCTTGCCCCGCCATCGTCGCCTTCTCCGCGCGCTCTAGAGCCGCCGTCTTCTCCTTCACCATTATCGCCGGCGAAGCGCTCGAGAGGTGGATAAGGCGGAGGTGGGAGCAGGCGCCGTGGGCGGAGGCAGAGAGGAAAGAGAGGAAAATGGGGAGGCACTGTTCAAAAATTCACCCCCGACGCTTTATATAAGGGCGCTTCCGAGTGGCTGACGAGTGGGTCCGAGCAGATCTGTCACATCCCGGAACAGTCGCACACGTACGATACGTGGCGAAAAAGGCGGCACGGAAATCGAGGCGTTCATGCCTTATCCCGCCCGATTGCCGCGGATCGCCCCGCTTCGCGCGCTTCCCAAATTTCAGATCCCGCAAAATCCGCTAACAGCAGATCAATCTGTCAGACGATATCCTTCCCGCGATCCGTCGCTCGGAAGTTCACCAAAGTTCAAAAGTTCACTCGACAAAAGATAAGAATGGATCAAGGCGACTGAAGTAAAAGTCGACGCCAACACCGAAAGAAGAATCGCCGATCCAAGATACGACATAATCAAAGTGCAGTAAACAAGTCGGAGAAAATCGTCAACTCCTTCCTCACTCGAACCTCGATCCATTCGGGGGCTAATGATGAGGTTATGTACCTAGGGTAGGGTCATGGACCTATCTAGGATACCATGCCCTAGGACATCATCATACGAAGCAACCTTCCAGTCGACCAAGAGAAGTTCCACTCGACCAAGGGAGACTCCACTCGACTGGCTAGAAGACACTCGACCATGAAGATGCACTCGACCATCAGAAGTTCAGGATCTACTCTGCATCCAAACGGTCTGTAATTGAATAGTCTTAATGGTCATGATGACACTTTATGTATGGCGTTACCAGTAACGCCAGCCTTAATGTACTTTAACCCTCCTCTACGTGGGCTGGCTGGGGTCTTGGCGTCCTCTATATAAGCCACCCCCCTCCACTGGTAGAAGGGTTCGCACCCCTGTAACTCATATACACAGAGATCAGTCGACCGCCTCCGGGCTCCGAGACGTAGGGCTGTTACTTCCTCAGAGAAGGGCCTGAACTCGCTAAACACTCGTGTGTACAACTACTCCATAGCTAGGACCTTGCCTTCTCATACTTACCCCCCATTCTACTGTCAGACTTAGAACCACGACACTCGAGGATGGTAGCTGGGCTACCTGCATCGGACCGGACATGGATGAGGCCACTCTTCGGGAGTACTTGGCTTTGTGGTCGGTGACGGCCGTGGTCCAGCTCACGCCCGGTTTACGTGACACTGTCAGATGGGCTTGGGAGGACTCTGGCCAGTACTCGGCCAGGTCGGCGTATGCGGAAGATTCTGGGGTCTCGAACGGGCACCATATGCCACTATGGCTTGGAAATCCAAGGCTCTCCTCCAATGCCGCTTTTTCAACTGGCTGGTGGCCCGGAACCGATGCTGGACGTCGGACAGGTTGGCGCGGCAAGGGTTACCACATCAGGCGGCCTGCCCCTTTTGCGATCAGGGTGAGGAGACGATCAATCACATCATGCTAACCCGCGTCTTCGCCCGCACGGTGTGGGTCGCTGTGCTCGCGGCGCTCAACAGGCCGGATTGGATGCCTGGCCAGGAGGACGCGATCGTCGACTGGTTCACGGCATGCTCGCCTCCGAGGACTCACCGGAGGGATATCACCACCGTGTTCTCTCTCTGCCTATGGGAATGTGGAAGCATAGGAACAAGATCGTCTTTGAGGGCGCCTCCCCATCGACGGCAGTGGTGATCGCGTGCATTGAGACAGAAGGCAGAGCTTGGGCGCAAGTTGGCATGTTCAAGCACGACATGGCCTTCTTCCTGTTGATGCTTTCTAGGTGGGATGGCGCGAGTAGTTAGACCAAGGCTGATCGGGTGGGGCTAGGTAGCGTTAAGGTTGAGGGCTCAATTGTAACCGGATGTAAACTTTGACCTTGGTGGATGGGGCTCTTTCCCCTCTCCTTCTTTAATGCACGATACGCACGCTAGTGCGTATTCTAGAAAAAAATGTAAGCCAATGGGTCCTAGATTCCAGTCTAAATTTTCATTATTTAAACAAAAAATTGCTTCGCCCTCTTCTGAATCCAACAAATTCAAGGACAAGGCGCGACCTTGTACGTGGTTTTTGGTTCGACCTCGGAAGCCAGCTTCCTGGAGCCAGGCCGTTCAGGCCAGCTCCACTCGCGGATTCGCGAAAGCTGGAAGCTGTCGAGCTTCCGAACAGGCCCTATAAAATGCTCATTTCTGATTGTAATATATAAGGTGGGGCACCTTCTTATCGAAAAAAGTAATCATCTGTGCTGGGCGATTTATCAAAGCACAGTTCTTGTGGTCTAATACTTATATTCCTTAACCCATCATTTGCACACAGCTTATTTCCTCTCCCGTAATCTAGTTGTTGTGTACATGGAGCGACTGATTACATGTTTGACCAGCAGTTTGGCAAACTTGGGGGGATGTGAAAATTAACAAAAATATGACAGAGATGGGTCATGAATGAAATCCTCATTTAGCACTTCAGCTCCTGTTAACGTTCATGTGGATATCTACTTGAGGCAGAGATATTGTATTCAAGAACATGGAATTGACAAAGGAGCACTTTATCCTCCTTCCTTTTACTGCCAACTCCTAACCAATTACAGTTGTCTGGAATAAATACAAAGACCTCAATGCTAATGAACTTACTGATTTCTCACAGAGAACGTAAAAAATCCAGATTTATGTCACTACTAATTATTGTGCTTGGATAAATGGACAGAGAATTGTAACTCCTGCATAGCCTCTCCTCTCTGTCCTCTATCAGATGAAATGCTACATGCCTTACCATCTGCAGTCCTGAACTGACGTCACCAGTTGACGTGCTTGTCCAGAAATGCATTTGCAAGATTGCTGAAGCTGCTGTTGACGGCTCCAGCTGCAGAATAGTCTCTTATGATCCTAAGTACATCCGGTTTCAATATGTCTTTCTTTGTCGAGGGGTTGCATAAGTAGTACATGGCTCCAAGTGCATAATTCACCTGCACGCAATCAATCAAATGGAAATGTTGGTATATGTTGAAGTGAGAACATATATAGTGACATAAAGACTGATATGTTTGCAAAGAAGATAATGGATGAAATAGAGAGACAAGCGACTGAGGGTGCCCTGCTAAATATCCCCAATTCACATGTCTCCTCTCCTTTAGCCCTACTTCCCTTAGTAACCTTTATTTTAGACATCACCCAAAGTAGCCTAATCGATCAAGAGGAAATTCACATGCATAGGAAGGAACCAATCAGAAAAAAATACTCTTCAAAACAAAGAAGGCCTATACTGTTACGATTGCAGTTCATAGGTTCAGAAACACTCACGGTATTCTTAACTGGGCTAGATAAGCATTGTACAACCAACGGGATTCCACCACATTGAGTAATAACAGAAGCATTTGCTGGATCTACACGATGAATACAAAATAAAATGACCGCGTCAAAAAATCATGTTTGATAGACACATTGAATAAGTGTCTTGCATGCTTCACAATAATAATAAAATTCCGTAGAATTCAAGTCATTAGATTGCTCACCAACACATGAATTACATATTCCACCAACTCCTAACTCAACAAGCCTTTCATTTGGTTCCGTAATGCAGTCCAAGAACAACTCGAGAATATTCAGCTGAGAGAACAGAACATATATACCGTCTCATTGAATAGGAAAGTACCAGGACTGCCGCTGACAAAAAAATGCAGCAATTGACCAAAACAAAAGGTATGTGGAATCATCAACCTGGCGCATAAAGGCGTAGTTATAAGGGTCATATGCGAAATTTGACAAGTTTGCAACAATCCTCTCCTTGTACTCTGAAACAAAAATAAATAAATTGATGAAATTTGGTGAGCACATAATATGATAATAACACTAAAGCTAAGGGTTTCACCGACAAAGTTGGAGCTATCTTCGTACCATAAGATAATTCCCAAACCTTTGCTGTGCTATCTAGTCGACAACATCACTAGAGAGCCCATGCGTCAACCTTACAACCCCTTTTGTTTAGCTTAGAATGTATTGTGCATCTTTTCCTTGGTGTCGTTTGGAACTTCACTAGTACTTCACTAAGTTGTTTGTTTTGACCCCAATACAATGGTCTTTACTGAGCGGCGACGAAATTCAGTTTCACAGCACAATCTGCTGACAACGATTTCTACAATAATTGCAACTGAACTCGGCTTCTGTTTTCAGTTCCACCTAAACCAATACGCGAATTCTAGTAGAAAAACGCAGAAATTTGACCCTGGTGTAAGCTTAAGAAAGAAGAACGAATCAGCCAACATATTTTTACCTTCATCCGTGGAGTCCTGGAACTGGGTCACAAGATCCTGAGGAAATTCGTGATTACGAGCAAGTTAACCAGTTATAACAATCGCGGGAGGAAATGGGAGACCCCGGCGATCCCCGACCGAGAAGACGGGAAGGAGGCGAACCTGAAGGTACTGGTCTCTCGGGGTGCCGCCGCGGCCAGTGCGCTCGACCTGGCGCTGCGCGTTCGTGAACATCTCCTCTCCGGAGTCCCTTTCCTCCTTCCAGCTGCCTCCGGCGTGCGCGATCGCTGGCCGTCGCCGGCGACGCACTTTTATTTAAACGTAGACGATTCCTCACGGCAGTCAACACTGCGCAATGTGCTGCTGCTTGCAGATGCAGCGGCGGCCGAGACAGAGGAGGGGCGGGAGGGACAGAGGAGGCTCGGGGAAGGAGGTGGACCGGGAGGAGGCCGCGAAGCAAGGCGGCGCGGCGAGCTGTAGGGCGGGGTGAGGGGAGGCGCGGCGGCGATTGGAGGGCCCGGTGAGGGGTGGCGCGGCACGTCGCGGGGAGGGACGGGAAAGGGCGGCGCCTCCCGGAACGAGGTCGTCTAGCGTAGCTATTTCTCCGTCCGAGCAACTCTAGTAGACCCTGTAAGAGTGGCGAACCCGCAATATTCCAGCCAATATACGCACTCGGTCCAATTTCCACATCAAAACAGAGACCGTATACTCATCCAGTCTGTAAAAAATTTTACCGCAACTTGCAACCCCCTTCCCCCGAACCAGTATATCTATGGATTCACGATGCATATACGAGTAGAAACCCTATCCCCCGTTGTTGCGTCTCGTCGCAATTTCCCAATTCCATCCTCATATTTCTCGTCGCCGGTGAGCCCCTTCCGCCTCCAGCCGCATGTGGAGCTCCGGCTGCGGCTCCGGGAGTAGCGACCCAGAGCACAAGCGGCGTGTCCGCTCGGACGGCGCGAGGAAGCGCGGGGCGAGGAAGTGGACAAACAGGGGCTTCCAGCTGCCGCGGAGCTTCCTCGTCCGCGAGACGGAGGAATACGACCGTCGGCACGGGCGTACGCCCTTCTCGGTCGCGGGCTCGTCCTCCGCCGCGAGATCTTCCCACACCGCGAGCTCTTCCTCTTTCGGCACGAGGCTTCTCCCCATGAAGAAGGAGTGGTCGGAGGAGCCGGGGGAGATCGAGGTCGTCGCCGTCAAGCAGGAGCCGGAGAAAATCGAGCGTCGAGGGGTCGTCGGGCCCGAATATCTCATGGCCGATTTCGATGCGGTCACGGCTCGTCATTGCCGAGCGGAGCTTGCGCGAGGAGGCGGAGCGCTGGCGCCACAACGACGAGTTCGACGACCTCATCCTCCAGCAGGCGGCCGCGGCCAACCTTGCCGCGAAGGAGAAGGACGACGAGTGGTGGCGCATCCGCGGGGAGCAGAAGTCGAAGTTCATCGATCTCGTCAGCTCCGACGAGGACTGAGCTCCTCCACCGTGTCGTCCTCGGCCGCGAGCTCATCCATTTTGGTATATCGATCTCAGCCTCGCTGCCGCGAGATCCCCCTCCCTCTAGTAGTAGTAGTAGAATGTAGTATGTATGACAATGTAGTATCTGATGATGAGCTATGAATGATCATGTAGTATGTGATGAACTGGTGTGGTGCAGTTTCTTCCGTGAAAGTTCTTTTTCAAATTATGCAGTTTCATATACGGGTTCTACTCCGCCGCGCACGATTTCAACCAGCAAAACAATTCTTCGCCAAACTGTAAATACTTTATGCGGGTCGTATTTTTACGGGGTCTGCTGGAGTTGCTCTCATTAGGACGTCGGACGCGGCTGGCCGTGCATCACGTATCCGACGGCGACCATTTTATTTTTTTAGGCACAAGGCGACCAAAAGACGGTGACCTCGTTCACTCCAGTGGCCACGAAGATCAGCAGCCCATACGGCCCATCATCTATCGCTCTCACTGGGGCTACAAAGTTTTTCTTGTGCAATATTTTTTACCTATCGTGTATACATTCATTGTTGTGATTTAGTATATTCAAAAAAGTGTTTAAAACAGGTATTGTAAAAATGTGCATAATGTATCTGAAAAATGTCGAATGTGTATCAGAAAATATTTCATATGTGAGTTCAAAATGCACATTGCCTACTAAGAGAAATTAGACATGTGTAATAAAGAAAACCGATTAAAACCGGCATAGAAACAAAAATAAAAGGAAAATAAAAGAAAGAAAGAAAATGAAAAAAGGTATTACAAAGAAAATAAAAGTGAAACAAAACCAATGAAAAAAGAAAGAAAAAAAGAAAAAAAAGCAAAGAAAAGGCAGAGTGGAGCGAGCGCACGAGCAGCGAATACCATCTAAAAACTCCCAAGGTTTAAAATAGATCGGGACTAAAATGTTCGGTGTGCTGATTTCAGAGATTGTAAGTTCAGAGTTTGATTTAGCTTTCGTCTATAAATTCATGGTTTATTTTGAACCTTTTCCAATTTTATAAGATGTGACACTATTTTTCATATTCAAGTCTGAGATAGCTCACTACGTGCGCCAGGTGGCGATAAAATGTGACATCTTCTGTCACTGATAAATTAAGATCTAGATCCTACTCCTGCCGTTCCGAATTACTTGTCGCGAAAATTAATGTTTAGTTCCATTTGTGCAACAAGTTATGAATTACTTCTACATCAATTTCTGCAACAAGTAATTCGGGGCTGATGGGGTATTTAGCTAAACGAGAAATCTAATAACCAGTCGACTGGTCGTTTGCAACAGGCACGAACGACTGGATCGCTCCCGATTCTTCTTTTTTCTTCCGCAAAACTGCCATCGTGGGCGAGAAAAAAAATTGATGTGGTCTGGAATTGAACTAAGGTCTCCAGGATAAAACCTACAACAGCCTACCACCACACCATAACGCATCTTTTTGTTAGGTGAATAATAGTCGTCATACTTGATCCTACAGAGTCACGTCAACATAATTAAGACACCATTATTTTGCTCGTTCCTGTGCGTTGATTCACGAAATTAATTTCAAGCCATTTGCTTCTTCCATTTGATTGTCCATGCAGTCATCTCATTTAATGACAACATTTTTTTTCAACGTCATCTTTTTATTGACTCATCAAGTGCCAATGTTAGTACTTTTTTTCTCTGTGCATTTTTAGTGCCACAATTTTCTTTTCTTTTCTCTGTTGCATGCACGCACGATCTGCTCCAGATCCAATTTTTTTGCTCTCCTCCCGATCCATTTTTTCCCTCTCTAGATCTTTTTTTGTTCGAGATTTTTTCACGCAAAAATTGGTGTGAACAAGAGAGGATTCAATCCTTTCACCACTAGTGAGCCAACTCAACTAGCCTACCACCTGACCTACGATCCCTTTCTTGAACAAAAGAAAGTAAATGGACTATTTAACATGTCTCATCTATAATGTATGCATAAAAACGAGTTAATTTAGTGTTCGATTTTTTCCGCGCTTAGGTACCCCGTTCCTACTAACTTTACCGACCGGGGAGGGGCGGGGGTGAAATATCCTTCGTTAACTTTCGTGTGAATAACATGGTAACTCAAAATTAATAGACCTGATAACTTATGTACCCCGGTC